AGTTAGGGAAGCTCGAGCATGCCGGGCCCCGGGGTGCTGGCAGCTGAAGGCCCTCTCCTCTCTCCCTGTGGGAGTGGGCTGGTGAGCCAGACCCCAAGCTGCCCTCGGAAGGAGTCCCACCCCAGCCGGGCGGGAAGTGGGAGACGGTCAGAGCAGGGTAGACAGAGCAGATGGAGGCCGTGATCCCAGGAGGCTGAGCCGCCAGGTCGAGTTCCGAGGTCCTGGGCGGTCCCACCTGTCCCACCTTCTCCAGCCTCTGTGCCCCTCCCCCGGGGCCTCTGCAGGACATCCTGGCCCCTCCTCCTTGTGTGACACCTGCCCTGCCTGTCCTCCCTGGCCCTCTGAGCTGGCCATTGTCACTCAACCTGGCTTTAAGGCCTGGGGCAAATCTCCCAGCCTCCTCCAGGACCAAAGGCGCCGGCCACTCTGGCCCGCACGCAGGGCCACGTCTGAACCAGCCACCCGCATGTTCTTCATAGCACCGGCCCCCAAACAGGATGCCAGGAACCCCGAGGCCCAGCCAGGGACTGTCCCTAACACATCTCCACCCGGAGCCAGGCACGTGGGGGTCTCAGCTCCCCAGGGGGGTCCACCACTCCTGGGTGGCTGAGCTAATGGCTGAGGCCGGCAAGCAAGCCGTAGAGAAAGAGAACGGACTCAGAGGGGCCCCACCTAGCTAGAGAGCGGGGACATCGCGCAGGGAGGGGCTGACGCTCTCTCTCAAGGTGACACAGGAGAGGCCACCGGGTCCAGCATGAGCAACCTATGTGTTGGGGCCCCGTCAGGGGTGACAGCCTCCCACCTGCATCCAGACACCCGCTCTGCCCTCCTAGCTGTTGCCCCAGCCACACAGTATCACCTCCTTAGACCTCCCTCGTGTAACAGGACCCCTTCATGGGTCTGTTGGAGGGGCTCCATGTGTTAATATGTGTTGGGTGTCTACAGCGGGGCCCGGCACAGAGCAAACCCTCGACTGAAATTTGCTCTCATGGGGAACTGAGACACCGGCACAAGTACGGAACTAGGCGAGGACAGGGGAAAAAATAATCCCACGGTCAGAGTGGACCACAAGTGAAAGACGGTGGCAGTACCAAGTCCAGGCTTTGAAAAGTGGCTCAGGGCACTGGGTGTGGCTCAGGGCACTGGGGTCCATCACGCACAGGTGCGGGGGTCCCAGGCCCGGCGTGTCACTGACCTGCGGTGTGACCCGAATGTGCCACCGTGTCTGTTGAGGTCTTGGTTTGACAACCTGGGGATGAGCCGACCTGAGTAAGCGCAAGCGTTTGGCAGCCTGTCTACAGAAAGTGGGGCTCTCTCCCTGCTATGTCTACATGGGCTGGGAGGCCCCCGGGGTCTGAAGAGCTATTGAGTCGGGGCGGTACCCACACCGAAAGGACCACAGAGGCCACCCAGTGGCCGTGGTCTTCCGTGGCCCTTCCGTGGCCCAACGGAGTGGGCGCGTTTCTTGTGCAGAACAGAACAGAGGCAAAGATCTGACGGGCGGTGGGAGGGATACGGGTTAGACTTCATGCATAACTTCCCAAGGGAAAGGCTTTGGAAAGCCTTCACACGGTCTCTTTTCCATGTTGTTAAGAAAGGGGCAGGTGACCCCTCGGTCACCTTTGCTGAGGGCCGAGGGTCTCCAATCCATCTTGTCCACGTTTGGCGCTGGACGTGCGGCCGTGGAATGCATGCATGCATGCATGCATGCATGCATGAACGAATGAAACTTGGTCTCCCACACTGTGACAGGTGGGGGCCCCCAGCTCTGAGCCTCAGCCTCTGTGAGATGTGGACAAAGACGTCTCGAGGCTTAGGGTCCGGGATTCTTTTTTTTTTTTTGAGCTGGAGTCTCACTCCACCGCCCAAGTTGGAGTCCCATGGCACACTCATGGCCACCCCAGCATCGACCTGCTGGGTTCAGGCGAGTCCTCCGCCTCGGTCTTCCGAGGAGCTGGAACGACAGGTGTGCGCTACCACGCCCGGCTAATTTTTTGATTTCTTGTAGAGACGAGGTCTCACCAAGTTGCCCGGGCGGGTCTCGAACCCGCGGACTCAGTCAATTCACTCGCCTCGGCCTCCCAAAGTGCTGGGATGACAGGCTGAGCCACCGAGCCTGGGATTCTTACAGGCATGGATGCTGTGGCAGGTCTGGCGGGAGGTGCTCCTGGAAAGAGCTTCCCCGAGGAAGGCAGGAGCAGGTGGCAGAGAATACCTTCCTGAGGACACAGGGAAGACGCGGGGGACCAAGGTCCCCTTCACAGGGCGTGTCCTGACCCGGGCACCATGCACAGTGCGAGGGCGGTCTCCATGGGATCCACCCTGTCTCCGCAGCCCCCTGCCAAGCCCGGGAAAGTGCAGGAGACGGCCAGGAATGCCGAGTCCGCACCTCGAACGCTCTCCTAGGACCCAACGTGTCGCTTTGCTCGGCTCTTATTGGAGCTGCAGCTCCGGGAACCGGCAGGACATCCCTCCATCCCTCGAGGGAACCGGTTGGTTCCCTTTCCCTGAAAATGCACTACGTGAAATCAGCCCCCTGTACATGTCCTCCGGCTTCGAGACCCTTCGAACTACGGTGGATCGTCAGCTTTAAACTTCTCCTTTATTCCAAAGGACTTCTTAAAAATTAGGTCACTCTGCGTCCCTTTCTGTCAATTGGACACGTGCCATAATCTATACACGCATCAGTCCCAATGGCAGATAAGCAGGGAGGGTTCCTGTCCCAGCAGGTGGGCAGATACCGGCAAGCAGGTATCTCCGGGTGTCTGGGCTTGTTCGAGACACCTGACAAGTCACTGACAGCTGCCAGTTTGAAGAAAGAGCAGGAACGTGCAAAGGTTAGCACAAAGAAGACCTCACGCCATCTATGGCCCCCAAGCTGGCCTCTCTGGCTTTGGAGGCATTTCTTCTTCAACCTCCTTGTCCAGAAGCCAGGAAGTGATTTTCACCCTTGAACTTGGGGGTGGCAGGCAGGGCCGAGGCCCGGGGACACAGGCTGGGAACCGCAGCCCAGATGGGATGGGCTGGTCCCGGGGCTGGTGTGTGCACGTCTGGGAACGGGATAGGAGCTGCAGAAAGGCGGCCACGCCCTCTGGCCTTCGCTGGGTGACTCAGGGTCATGACGGAGCAGCGGCCGTGGGCTGGGGCCGAGCCGGGGAAGCCCTTCGAGGCTTCCCAACATGCCACCCG